ATGTGACAGACTGAGAGAAGCAGTTTATTAAGACACCAACCCCAAGTTTATTTAGTTCATAAACTCTCTCCTAGAAAATCAATACAGTCTGTACAGGGTTATTAGGCTGACTAGCTAATACATCCAAATCTGGTCTGCCCAGCCAGCAGTCTTTTGACAAAATGCTACCCAGCGTAGGCAAACTGAGCTCTTTCAGATATCAAGGTTTGAGGTTGCTCTAGATGAAACAGGTCTGCAGTGTAACTAGGACCTGCATATTACTGCCAAGGCACAAACCTCAAAAGCACCATGATACCCTTCAAAGGTTTAAAATTTTTCAGAACACATCTATCATACAGTACTGCACCTGCTAAATGGATTACAGCAAACAAAATTTTAACTGGTTTGTAAGACTAGTTTACAAACAGGACAAGCTTTATTACAATAAAAGACAACAGTTAACCCAAATACCTAAAAATAAATGAGTAAACTAAAATGAAACCTCAAGCATACATACATGCCATGTTTTGCAGAATATCCATTTTTAAATCAAGTTTTGAAAATACAAAATAGACGCCTCTAGAAATCCCCAAAATACATGATTTGAACTTGCCACTCACTGCCACATATAAACACAGCATGCAGAGTCTTTGATGTTGGGCTAAATTTCGATCTAGCAAGAAGAGCACAGGTACAAAAAATAAACCTGGAAGGCACAAAAGAGGACTTCTGAGTTTGTTCATTGGCTATACAGTCTGTAGCTTATGGAGTAGCTGTCTGGAATCATCTGTATTAAAGTTAATTTAAGGCTGGGGGGGTGGGGGAAGGCATCATTTCCACAGTAATTGCTTTTTACTGCCTTGATTCCATGTATTTCCGGTTACAGAACTACAAATACTAAAGGCTATGAGCTGGCTTTCCCACATTTACTGATCATGAATGAGATGGAGCGTGGAACTCAAGAATACAACAACTAGGTCTAAATGGCACCCAAATTATTAAAGACATTATGGAAATGTGAACATCTCCATCATACAACATCACATAGCAGATATACACTTGCAAAAAGGAAGAAACTCAATGCAGTTTACAATGTTAAAACACACTGGAGAACTGAAGGAAAAAACAAAAAGAACAATTTTTAGAAGTGATTTCTGATGTGTATGTTGTCTTAACATTTAAAATGTTCCAAGAAAAGGATTATACTACTAACATGATTTTAGTATACTGGCTCTAAGATACTAAATCCTAAACTTCAAAACAAAAGTCCTTATTTTCACAGGACTTTACTGAAATCCAGTTTATTAATTGCTGCAAACATTTTTCCTCTAATTTTTGAGCTGGTACCTTATTAAGCATTTCATAGATCATGTTTTTGAGTAATTTGTAAAAAGTTAGACATATATATATTCTAAACCTATACTATAGATGCTAATGTTTTACATAGTAATTAAAAGTTGTAATTACAGAGAAACTGTATTTTTTAAAACCTTTTTGCATATAACTACATACTGTGCATGTACCCTCAATGAGATCCAATTAGTTGCAAAGAATTTGCATTTCAGTTAGTATGGGATAACAAGACTATAGGGAGGCACAATGCAATTCCACCAGTAGAGTAAGAAAGTGTGTTCTTTCTTGTTAGCTCTGTAAGCAATAATTCCCACAACTGACTGTCTAAAATGTTACTGATCTTTTCAATATTTTGGTATTGAGGTAGATTTAAGTTCTTCCCCCCATTAAAAAAAAAAATCACAAGTTGGTGCAAATATCAGCCACATGAATACCTGAAGAAACAAATGAACAAAGGATTTTGCTTTGCATGTATATTTGTGGGTTTTTTTCTTAATGTGGGGATATTGCATACTTTTTCTTTTTTCTGAATAGTTACTGATAATTTCTTTAAAAGCACATTGCTTTCTTAAAATAAGTTCTATAACTGCGGGACAGGGAAACCTCCGAGACAGCTGTATGTAAACATATATGGTTTTGTGATATAGCATGTATTTAGTACACTGAGAAAGTACTCAAGGATTTTCACTTTTTTCTAGTTATGTTTCCAACAATGTAAATCCTGAGCAAATATCAAATAAATGTATATAATTTATATACACAGTGTAACAAGCATATCCAGGACTTCTGCTGGTTCACGGAACAATACCTGTAATTCCCTGGGTTCAGTTCAGCAGCTGTTAACAGATTCTGTAATCTGTAATGACAGTAAACTGGCCTTTGCTCTTCTTTTATTCACTATTCATTTTCAAGGGTTGGTTAAGTACAGAGCTGGGTTAAAGATCAGTGGTTTTTCATGTGACACATGCTGGTATTCATCTAATGGCTTGTCAAGACAAAACTGTCCCTGTTCTTGCCAAAATAATAAAAATGACGCTCCACATCGCATGACAATCAGCACTTCCTTATGGCAAAACAACTCAAGCTTTTGTAGTTCATTTACTTTATAGAAAAAATATTTTAATAACTGGCTATCCAATTCTATGTGTGGAATTAGGCTGCCATTCTC